TGAGCCTTTCTCATGAAGATAGAAATAAGATATTTGGAGATGATGGTGGAACTAAAGATCCCCAGACAGTTGAGAGTTACGTTATATGGAGTGCTGAGGGATTTACCTCTGGTAGACACTACTGGGAGGTGGATTTGGGGAACACCTCCAACTGGATTCTCAGCGTCTGTAAAGATTTTGTGACAAGTGACACTTTTGATTGTGAGAAAACATTTCTCCTATTTTCCTTAAAGAAGAATAACCACTGTAGGTTCTCCACCAACTCCCCACCCTTAACTCAGTATGTACAAAGACCTGAGGGTCGGGTTGGGGTATTTCTAGATTATGACAATGAAATTATGAGCTTCTATGATGTTTACCGATGTTCCCTCATATACAGTTTCTCTCTTCCCATCTTGACATCACCTCTGAATCCTTTTCTTTTCCTTGATTCTACATAAAATTTAGGTTTTCCTGGGCATGGTGTCACATGTCTATAATACTAGCTACACAGGAAGTTGAGACAGGAGAGACACAAGTTTTGAAGGCAGACTGGTCATTTTAAAGAGAGTTAAAAGGGGGAGGGTGGTGTAGCACTGTATTAGAGCCCTTGTCTAGTAGGTGTGAGGCTCTGGGTTCATTCCATAATACTGAAAAAAAGAAAAAAAAATGAAAATTTTAAAAGAGAATAAGAATTAATTGGTGAATGTCCATATCAGAAGAAACTGTGTTCTTGGGACTACCTCATGTCATGTTACCATTCTACACATGATATCTGTGGGCTTGTTTTAACTTAAAGAAGTATAATCATTTTATGGTCATAAATTGTGATAACCACATTGAACTTATAAATTTGTTTATTAAATTTTATTTTAATAAAGTGTTGTAAAACCACCACAATGTGATTTGAGGTTAGTTTTCAGTTGCTTTAAATAATTCAATACCCCATCTACCATGGGAGCCCAGGCCTAGCCCAGACTTCCCACACCAGCAAAACTAAGAATTAGATTTGATGATGAAATAAAACCCTTCCATGATAAGCAAAAGTTAAAAGAATTTACAATTAGAAAGAATACAATAGAGAACATCCTGAACAAAATATTCCACGAAGAGCAAATGAAAAACAATGGTGAAAATCAGCAGAGGGTGGTATCACACTAAAGGAAAATCTAGTCAGACAAGAAACCATGTCTGTTAAATACCAAAAATAAATAAAAATAGCTAGAAATACAAATCATGTCTCAATAATAACTGAATGTTAATGGCCTAAACTCACCAATAAAAAGACATAGACTATATGTCAAGATAATTGTAATGTTTTGAGCAACCAATAAAAAAATAAAAATAAATAAATAAATAAATATAAAACAATTTAAAAAAATTAAAAAGACATAGGCTAGCAGATTGCATTAAAAAAAAAAAGACTCAACAATATGCTATCTCCAAGGGACTCATCTCACAGGAAAAGACATCCATAGACTGAAGGTGAAGGGTTGGGAAAAAGCATATCACTCACATGAACTGCAGAACCAAGCAGGGTTTTCCACTGTCATATCAAATAAAATAGACTTCAAGTTAAATTTAATCAAAGGGAATAAAGAAGGACACTACATACTTCTCAAGGGAACCATACACTAACAAGACTTGACAATTATAAATATATGTGCCACAAACAATGGAGCATCTATGTTCATCAAATAAAATCTTCTCAAGTTCAAGAGTCAAATAGACCACAACAATAATTTAGGGTGACTTTAACACACCTTTTTCATCACTAGATAGATCTTCCAGATAAAAGCTGAACAAAGAAACTATAGAACTCAATAATATAATAATCAATAACTTAGACTTAACTGACATATATAGAATATTTCATCCTTCAACAAGTGAGAACAGTTTCTTCTCAGTAGAACATGGGTCCTTCTCTAAAATAGACCATATATTATGCTACAAAACAACTCTTAGCAAATCTAAAAAAGTGGAGATACTGCCTTGCCTTCTATTAGATCATAATGTAATGAAATTATAAATCAATGGTAAAATAAGAAATAAAGTTTACTCCAACACCTGGAGATTAATAATATGCTACTGAATGAACAATGGGTTGAAAACACATGAGTGAAGAGATTAAAAAAAAAATAGAGATGAATGAGAACACAGATACAACATATCAAAATCTTTGAGACACTATGTAAGCAGTTCTAAGAGGAAATTTCATTGCATGGTGTTCATTCCTTGAAAGAAAAAAAAGTCAACAAATAAATGACTTAAAATTGCATTGCAAAGCCCTAGGAAAAAAATAACAAATCAACATTAAAAGCAGTAGAAGACTGGAAATAATTAAAATCATAGCTGAAATCAATGACATTGAAACAAGAGAAACAATTGAATAAAATGATAGAACAAAAGTTGTTTCTTTTTTAAATTTTTAAATTGATTTTATTGTTTTTAAATACATGATAACAGTTGTTTCTCTGAAAAACAATAAATAAAATTGACAGACCCTTAGCCATGCCAACACAAAGAAAGAGAGAGAAAACTCAAATTGCTAACATACATGAGAAAAAGGAAATATCACAACAGACACTACAAAAATACACAAGATAATTATAAATTATTTGAAAACTTGTACTATAATAAAGAAACAAAAGCATACACAAATTTTAGAGTCATACGATTTGCTCACATTGAATCAGCATGATATATACAATTTAAACAGATCAATTTTAAGTGATGAAATAGAAGACACCATCAAAAGTCAACCAACCAAGAAAAACCCAGGACCAATGGATACATAGCCAAGTTCTACAACACCTTTAAAGAAGAACTAATACCAATACTCTTCAATTTATTTCAGGAAATAGAAAAAGAGGCAGCACTTCCAAACTAATCCTATGAGGCCAATATCACCCTGATTTCAAAACCAGGCAAAGACACATCAAAAAAAGAAAACTTCAGACCAATATCTCTAAAGAACAT